CAGCCCCATGGATGTTCTCATTCAATATCATATTCACATGCAGCACAAAGCACACGCCATCTCCCATGATCTGCTCTCTCGTCCTCCCTCAGCCCTGCTCTCTCCTCCACTTGGGCCGGCTGTGGGATTCATACAAAATTAACCGGAGGTTCCGTTTCACAGCACTCTGCAGTATCCAGTTCCCATTCCACCCTACTGCTGCCCCATCTTTGTCCCCCTTATCAACCCCGCCAGGAAACACACTATGTGGCAAACACCCAAGAGCAACCTATCATCGTCGCCCTTTGTGACAACCCAAGGTGGGTGCAGGTGTCAGGAAGTGAGCAACGAGGGCTGTGTGTGCAATGGCTCAGGGCAGTGCAACACTGGGCTCAGAGAACTGGAGCCATCTGTTCTATGAGCGACACAGGTGTCCTGTGTCTCTCCCCAAGCCTGCAGCCTTCTGTCCCATGAAAGGAGGGGCACTGGGACATCCCCTGCCTCTTCTTTCTTCCTCCTTTTCTTCTTTCCATGAATATTTCTTGAGCCCCCAGGCAATGCATCAGGTGCTAGAGAACTGATGCATTGCCTGGGGGCTCAAGAAATATGGTGGAAAATGACAGAGCTCCTGCCTCCAGGCCTCCTGGACCACCTGACACTAGTCACTCATTTTTCCACCTCCTCTGATGGCATGTTAACTCTGCACTGGGCACAGCCACTGTCTTATCTGATTGCCTAATTCTTTCAAGGGGATGGGGCCCATGCATGTTGTTGTAAAAGAAACACTGGGGTGTAATAACAATGATAGTAAACATCACTTTGCAGGTGTCTAGGGTCTGCCTTGCACGTGGCTTATCTAATTTAATCCTCACACCATTTGCTTGACGTGGGTACTGTTATTACCCTCACTTCGCAATTAAGTCAGCTGAGGCTCAAAGAGGTTAAATTGAACTCTCCCAGTGTCCCTTGAAGATAAAGACACTCAGGATTTGAACCCAGGTTTCTGGGATTCTACCATCCTTGGCTGGAATGGTGTGGAGGGAAAGGGAACCGTAGAGGTAAGAAGATAAAGTTGTTAATCAGAATCAACAAAACCAACAGTGGGAGAGGAAAGGAGTGGAGCTCAGATGGGGGTAGAGGCTGCCCCTGGCCTCACAGCCTCACAGGGGGCAGGTTTACCCAACCGGTGTCACCAAAGTTGGGTCTCCAGGTGGGTTGTCCAGTACTGCCGGGCTGTGGGAGCTGAGCCACACCCTGAGCTGGCTGCTGCTGGTGCCCTGGGTGAGCACAGATTCCCTGTGGCCTCAAACCCCATTTGTCACTTGCAGAGATCTTTTTGCCTAAAATTAGCTGGACTTGAATGGGAAGGCTAATTTATGCATGGCCTGGAGCGTTTCCTGCAGTGTGACTCAGAGGCCAGCTCCCTGCTCACATCAGCAGATTAGGGGTAGAGGGTGTCGGGAGTGGCCAACCTAAGCCCCTGTGTCTGAAGCTGGCACAGCCTAGACCACTGAGCTTTTAAATTGGGGCTGGGGCTGGGGCTGGGCCAAGCATTTCTCTAAATCAAAAGACGGCCAAGTAGGGTGGGACAAATGCTCCTCATGAGACAGAGTAAAGGAGGTGTCCCTTGACCCCACCCTATTCAGGCATCATCCTACAGTGGACGCCAGAGGACTGTTCCCAGGTGGCCATGCTTGGCTCAGGTCTGAGTATGGGGCTGTGTTCAAAGCCTGCTCTGACATGAACTGTGGCAGTGACCTCGAGCCCTCATACCCTCCTCCATAAAATGGGATAACAGCACCTGTTTCCAGGAGCACGTCATAGAGAAGCGTAACAGCCTTGTACAAAGTATTTCTGATGTGTGGACATTGGCCACCATTCCACCGTTTCCGGAGAACGTGCCCACTTTTTCCCCAGTGATGATCCTCATAATGAAAACGATACTGAGAGCTGACATTTATTGAGCACTTTGATGCTGGGATCCAATCTTATTCAGTATTCACAGCCCATTTTATCGATGGGGAAATGGAGGTGTTTAGTCTCTGGGGCTGAATCTCACCACAAAGAACTACCTATGTGTTAGGGACTGTTCTAAGCTACTTCACTTTGTCCTTCCCCAGCCCTGTGAGGTAGCCACTATTACTAACCCTGATTTACAGATGAGGAAATGGGGGCACAAAGAGTTTGAATAACTTGCCCAGAGTCCCACAGCAGGTAAGTGGCAGACCTGAGATTTGAACCCAGGATGTCCAAGTTTGGGTCTGTGGCATTATGCTCTTCTGCCACTCCCCAAATCTCTCCCAGCCCTGCCCCTCCCAGCCCCTTGGGAGATACTTCTAGGGACCAATGTGGCAGGAGCTCCAGGGAATCCTATGATGGGCTTTCCTTCTCCTCAGAGATCTTGCCCATCAGAGATCTCATTTGGTTCTCATGAACAATCAGGAGACCAAGGCTCAGAGAGGTCAGACAAAAAGGCCCAAAGGCACATGGCTGGCAGGCACAGAGCACGAGAGATGTCATTATTGTCTCCGCTTCACAGACGAGGAAACAGAGTTCTTTACTTTTCACCCAAAGCCTCACTTCTTGCAGCATACCAGTTATTCTGTGGAATTCCCTCTAAGAAACGCTGCTGTAGGCCACACTACATGGGCTTTCCCTTCTCTTTCCTCCATAGCCAAGTCCAAACACCTCCTCCAGGAAGCCTTCTCTGACCTTCACTGTCCAGCTGCTTTACCATTACTGAGTCCTGGGGCCCTTGCTGCACTTGGTCTTGATCATCTGCAGTCTGGGTTGTTTAGCTGTCTGAGAGTTCCCCTACCTTAGGCTGGGACTTAGTAGCTGTGTCTCAGGGTTTTACTGGGCCCTCCTTTGTGACAGGTACCAGGTTGGGCACAGGATGTACAGACAGAGCAGAGAGAGTTCCTGCCTCAGGTGGGCAATGCTCCCCCCAGCAGTACAGAGTAGGTTCCCAGGAGCCGGCCAGAAATGGCTCTGCAAGGGTCCTGGAACTTGGTCATGTGCTGTCCAACTTCCCAGCTCTGGGAAGCCTTTCTGGTGGGAGGGGAGGGTGGTTTTCTTAACTAGGGTCCATACCCCACTTCTAGGGAGTCTGGAAACTTACAAATAGTGTGAGCCACACCTGTTGCATGTGGTTGGCTGATTTTCTGGAGAGAGGGGTCACAGTGCCCATCAGCTTCTCCCCAGGGACTGGGGCCCAGAGACATTTAAGATTCCTGATTCACGGCAATCTCTCAGTCCCTAATTAACAGGCAAAGGCCACTTGAACAACCTTGCCTGCCAGCAGTTCTTGTTTGCCAACCTGATAGTGGAGGGGAGCACGGACCATTCTGCCAGGGATAAGCGACCACAAGAGGCTGGGACCCAGAAGTCTCCAAGCAAAGCCTATGCCCATCTTAGGGCCACATGCAGCTGTTTTTAAACCTCACGCCAGAATTGCACTATGAGGAAAGGTTACATCCTCTATTCCCACCCTCCCCACCGAAACAAAACGAACAGCACTGAGTGAGAAAACGTGTTTCTAAACTTCTGCCTGGGCTCGGCTCGTGGACAAAGTGTCAGTAAGAATAGTCAATGTGGGAAGAAGAACCAGTTTTAGCTTTTCTTTCTGACCCAGGAGAGAAGACAAAGAGGGACACAGACAGCTGGGAGTTGCTGGGTGCAGTGGAGTGTAGGCACACGTGATTCCTGGACTGCCAGGCAAGCCCTGGTGGAACCCAGCAGCCGCTGCAGGAAATGCTCCCAGGGCTAGAGTCCAGCAGGGCCTGGGGCTCAGAGGAATGGAGAGAGGAGACAGGCTTCTCTTCTGTCATAAGGGATAACAGTTCAGCTGTTGCCTGCCTCCCAGGTAGTAGTTATATCTAGGGAAGGGACCGACATCCACTTCTCCTTAGAATAGTCATGGCTGCCACTTCGAGCACTATTGAATGCCCAGTCCTACACTAGGCATTGGCAGGCAGACATTGGCCCATTTTCCAGGAGAAGAAAACTGAGGCTTGGTGCAGCCTTGCACAAACTTGCAGGGTTGAGAGTGTCAGCACAGAGCCTCACACATACACCTGTAGGGTTTACATATGGAATGCTTCCTTTCCATGGTGAGCGGAAGGTAACTTGTGGCAGGTCACCCAAACCATGAGCTCTGGTGCTCAAGCCTGGCTGGCTTCCCTTGTCTCTGTTTTGGGGCAGAGGACCTAGCTTTGGACCCCTCCAGAAAAGCCCCCAGGAACTGAAACACTCTCTCTCTCTCGAGATCCCAGGCCTGTTCAATTTTGACAGGTGCAAGAAAGCCCCACTCCACCCTCAGGGCAGGACACACAAGGACAGCTGTCACCCTTCCCATCACAGCCATCTTCCTACTGCTTTGTCTGTCCAGCAACCCTACAGCTGTGATGCCCCAGAGCCCCAACAACCCCCAACCAGAGTCTGGATTTAGCAGAGAGACTTGATTCCAGCCCAGCAGCAGAGGATTGGCTGCACGTTGGTGGTGCTACGGTTCCACACTCAAGCCCACACTAGAGAATTCCTGGGGCTTGAGGAAGGAAGAACTGGGCCTGGATGGTTGGAACCTCAAAGCCAACCATTGTGGAATAAGTGGGGAAAGCACAAGGCCCTCCTGGGCCTGGGTGCAGGTTCCATGCTGGTCCCACCCAGTGGCCCTTCTGCCTCTGCCTCAGAGACTGGTGCCTCCCATATTTATAGAATGTGGAACTTGCCACTCTGTGGCTGTGGGGTCCCTTGTCTCCAGAACACAGTCTTGACCCAGCTCTCTTCCTGCTGTCTGTCTGCAGGTGGCTTGGGTCATGCCCAGCCAGTGATGAGGCTCTGTTCTCCAGCCTTTCCAGAGGGGCTGACACTCAGCTAGAATACACTACAATGGCCATTCTGGCATTTCAGCCTTTTTCTGAAACACCCCTGCTGTTACACATTATGAATATGGCCCCTGCGGCCAGTTGAAACGGTGGCCGCCTAGGCTGCAGCCCTGGGTTCAAGTCTCAGACACTTACCTTCAACAGGTGAGGTTTTGAGGCGCCGGCAGATGGCTTCAGTGTCCCCATAAGTCTCCTTGATCTTGACCACAGCCTCAGTGCCCCGCAGCTCCATGAGTGAGCGGAGCTCCTCCATTGTGCACCCGAACTCGCCCCCATGGCTCGACTCATTTCTTTGGTTTTTGGAGTAAAAGTCGCTGTTGGTCATGTCACCCATGTTGCTGCAGTCCCTGCTCGGGGTGGGCCCGAGGGTCAGTGCTGGACAAAAGGCTGCCGGGTGATGGCTGCTTGTGGTTGTCCTCAGCACACCCTCACTGGTCAGTTGTGGCACCAGGTGGCCGACTCCGGGTCCTCAGGGGTGGGGGTGGCTGAGGCCGGCTGGTGACAGCAGTGGTGAGCTCCAAGGGATGTCCCTGGGTGTGGGACGAGGTCCAGGGGCCGGAGGGGCTCAGGGCTGTAGACCCAGGAGTCTCCATTCAGTGGGGCCCATGCTGCTCCCTGGAGCTGGCATCTACATGGTCAGAGGTGGTGGCTCCTGTGGGACAAGCACAAAGTGAGTGACAAAGGCCAGGCACTAGAGGCCACATGGGACAGGTGCTCAGGAAGGCCCCAGGCACACACACAGCAACCCAAACAATACTGACTACACACACACACCCTAACACACCAGCTCACACTGTAAATCCAATGGTCGTAGTGCCAACCCAGGCACTCCACGATATGCCACCCTCAAGGCATATCCTGATAACACATTAACTCCCTATTTGTGCACTGTGCTATGGAACACACTCGCTTCACAGCACACACCGGTGTGTACACACATCCCCCCAACACATACCTTCTGGCATGTCCTTGGGCCCTGCGCCACTGCCACACACATACCAACACCCAGGCCCCACACACCAGCTTCGAGCCCCACCCTTTTCCCTCAAGAATTGCTGTGCTAACAGGCCCTCTGAGCACACCCAGACTCCATTTCCCTCCTTCTCTCACTATCCTTGACATGTTTACACATGCCCCATGCCCACACAATCTGGGACACACTCCCCCAAATACATTGTTCCCAAGCTCCCCCCCAAGTCCTCCCCCCATGCCACCTGTGCCCATCAATACACTATTCTCCTACATCCCTCCCCACTCAGGTCTCACAGGCATGGGGATGGGAGAAAGCCCTCCACCTGCACCCACAGGCCCCCACCATATTAATCGAGGCCCTCAGCCTGGCCAGAGAAGCCAGCTCATGTATATTCACAAGAATTATTGAGGCCAGAGCTTGGTCCCTGTATTAGTTCAGGTCCATGGAGCCCTCACCTGGAGTGGGGTGGGGGTGTGGTCCCATAGACCAGCACCACGGACAGCGGCCACGAGTCCCTCTTTGGAGCTGAGGAGGAGGGAGCTCTGGCTTCTCCCTGCCTGCCCGGCCACCTTGCAGGAGTGCGGCATCTGTGGGGCTGCCAGGAGAGAATCCAATCCTCCCTGACACCCAACACCGGAGGCCGAGGCCCCAGCAAGCGTTGGGTGACAAAGGGCCCCAGCTGAGCTCGGCTGGGCCTGGCACGGGGTCCGGCCCCGCCCAGCGGCCATGGACAGCTGGCCATCCTGGGCCCAGGACAGTGAGCGAAAAGGGTGAGGGAAGGAAGGCAGGACTACACCCTTTCCAGCTCCAAACTCCTCCCTTGCTTTATCTCTTTCACAACCCTTTCGTCTTTCACACATTTTAGAGCTGGAGGCATTCTAGAGGTAATTCACTTTCCCAGCGGGGAACCTGAAGCTCAGAGAGGGAAAAGCACTTGTCCAGAGCCGTAGGGAGCAAGAGTGCAGAGGAGCACAGAGGGAAACAGTCTCCCGGCTCCCAGCCCCCAGCTCCTCCCCTCCCCTAGGGGGCGCTCCCGCCTTTGTCTCTGAAGAGCCCTGTGGGTGGGTAGACTGTGCCAGGCAGCTGCAAAGAACACAGGATCTGGCGTCGGAGCGATTTGGGTTCACATCCTGGCTGTGGGACCCTGGGCAAGTTCCTTCACTTTTTGGAGCCTTGATTCACTTATCTGTAAATTGGCAAAACAGTCACTCTCCCCTACCCCCACCGCTGACTACCTCCCACTTTACTGAGAACTAATTATAAACCGTATTCAAATCCAGTGTGTTTCTGGATTTGGGGCTTTCTAGCCCTGGGTCACAGGGAGCTGGAGCCACAGGAGAAACCTTACATGTCTTACATAAGGGAAACTTTTACTCAGGGATGCAATAGGAAGATTATTTTTACACTGGGACCAACAAGTCTCTTATGGAATAGAGCATAAAATGGATGTGATGCCTCGAGAAGAGACACCAAGACATGAGACACCAAAGAAACTGCACGCCTGGTGCTCCCACCTACAATACTCAAGAGAGGCCATGCTCCTTGGCCATGGATGGAGCACACGCCATCCACAGAATCCCTGAGTTTTGACCCCAACAATGTATTCCTGGGAGAAGAAGGTGAAGCAGGGACCAAGAATGTGAATAACAACAATGGCAGTACTCCCCTGACATTTCTTAAGCATCTACTATGTACCAGGAGCTGTGGGATGAGTTCTGTATCATCCATCCAAGGTAAATTCTAGGAGGGTGAGGTTAGCAGGTTTTGTGTGCTGCTCTGGCTAGAAAAGCACTTAGCTCCTTGTAGGTACCTAGTAAATGATTGCTAAATGAATAGGTGAATGAATGAAAAGCAAATAGATAACTATCTCATTCTCTACAACCCTGTGAAGTGGATACTATAATTATCTCCATTTCATAGACCAAGAGAATGAGGCTCAGAAGGGTGAAGTCATTTGCCCAAGGTCACACAGTGGGAAGGTCCCAGGAAGTGGAAGATCTTTTAAAACTTCAACTTTGGACTCTTGCCCACCACCCAGTAAGAAGGGGCTGGCAGGGTGCTGGTCTAGGATGCTACGCCTCTCTGAGGAAAGTGTTGGTATTTGCGATTTGGGTTGAATGCTCTCCTCCTCCTGCTGCAAGTTAGTGCAGAGCCTCAACACGGCTCCCTTCCCAGTCTAGGGCCAGCCACAGGAGGCAAGGAGAGACCTCTGAGAGCATGCGGGCCCTCATTCAGGGTTGGATGAGGCACTAGGCCCAGTGCAGGGAGCGGGTGGGGGTTTTTGCATTAAGCAGTGCTCTTCCTGCTGCCTGCTCCGTGTAAATGTGTTTTGTGTATATTTAGGAAGCTGGGTAGAGAAAAACCAAATGGCTGGAGAGACAAGGATAGAATGAGGCAAACGGGCTACAGGTGGGGCAGAAGGAAGGAAATGAGGTCAGGGCTCCTTCAGGCCAATGCAGTGGTTGGGGCTTCTAGGAGAGACAGGTGTCAGATGCTGGGGGAAGGGTGAACCCCTGCTGGGTGGGAGGGGGGCAAGTGCTGGGGAGGGGATTTGACAAAGAACTTTCCAGAATAGGCTTTACTTTCTCAGGGACAAGAGCTGAGATGAGCAGATGCAGACTCTCTGTCCAGAAGGAACTTGGGACTGACCTGGAGCCCCAGGGGGCCTCAGTCCTTGGCACTTACATAACAAGCCTGGATCTGGTGAAGGCAAAGCCAGTGAACATTTACCACCCCACACCTGCACTAAACTTACTGGTGCGGTAGAAATCACCTGTGATTCTGAGCTAGTTGCCTGGCTTCTCTGGCTCAGCTTCAGCATCTATAATTTGGGGCTACTGATACATAACATTGCATGACTGGCACATGATAAGCATTTATTGAGCACTTATTAGGCACCAAGGACTCTGAGTGCTTTACAGAAACAGCTGTCTCAGAGATGGTGCTAGGGATTATGCATAGGGCTCCAGAAACCACCAATTCTGAGTTCAAATTCTGGCTCCTTCATCTTCCAGCTGAATGGGAGGGAAATTAACTTTGATTTCATTATCTTAACAAAAAGAAGAGAGGAATAAGAGTCTACCTCATAGGTGTTATGAAGCTTAAACGATTTATTTCATTTAAAATACTTAGAACAAAGCCCAGAACATAGTAAGCACTCAAATTAGTATGATTATTATTGTCAATCCACAAAACTACTTTATGAAATCTTACTATCCCATAGAAAATATGAGGAAACTGAGGCCAAGAGAGATGAAGAAAATTGCTCAAGATCACGACTAGTGAGTGGTAGAGCTGGGATTTGAACCTAGGCAGTCTGGGTCCAGAGACACACTCTTAATCAGGACTCTTTTCTGCTTCCCCTGGTGAATCTCCCTCATGAGGTTCTTATGACACTTAAATGAAGTGCCATATGTGAACGAAAGTGCTTTCCAAACCACAAGGGACTTTCTAAACCTGAGGTACTGCTTTCTATCTGTCCCCGTGCTACCTGCGGCATGGCTTATAGGCACTGATAATTATGTCTCTGAAAGTACAAGCAAGCTATGAGAATCGTTAGCAGCAGTTATATCTGTGATCACAACAGTTGGCATGAGTTAATGGGCTACTGCCAATTTTAATGACTACTGTGATAAGATGAACAATGATCTTCAACCATTTATCTACCCACCCACCCATTCATCCATCCACGTACCCACCTACCTGCCCACCACCCACCCATCCTCTCATCCATCCATCCATCCATCCACCCACCTGCTCACTCACCCACCCTTCCATCCATTTTTCCACCCACCCACCCACCACTCACCGACCCATCTACCCATCCATTCATCCATCCATCCATCCACTTACCCATCCAATCATCCATTCAATGATTGTGTTTGGGGTACTACTTGGTGCCAGGCACTGACCAATCCAGAGAGGATCCCTGCCCTCTACAAGCCCACAGTGAGGAAGAGAGACAACTGAATTAGTGATTTCTATGACTTGAAGTGTTTGCTATCATGGGGACCCCCAGGTGCTGTGGACACACAGAGCAGGAAGACTTGACCTGGCCCAGGGTAACCAGGAATGCCTTTCCTCTCAGCTCCAAGTAGGGATATTTTTTCTTCTTCTGCAGGTAAAGAAGGACCTAATAAAAATATGAACCATGAAGAAACTGAAATACACAACTGTTTGTCAGTAAAAGGTGCAGAAAGAAAACAGTGTGAGCCAGTATGGAGGGATAGAACTCTGGGATAATAAAAGCAACTAAAAATCAGAACTCTACCTGGAAGGCGACTGATCCTATACTTCCTTCTCTCTCTCTTCTCATGGGGCTTGTTCCCTATCCCAGCTTCATCTCATGGGCGCAAACATGAGGTTACCCCTTATCTGGGCATTTTGCTTTTTCATTCCAAGCTGCGGAGCCCACTTTGGTGCTTGCTCTGACAGTGAGATTTGCTGGAAAAGTGTGAAGTCCACCAGCACAAAAGCTACTTGTATGAAATGATAGAAATGATCTTTTTGCAGATGAACAGAACTGAGGACCCCATAGTTTGCATAGAATTCCTCAGATGCCTGACTCCTGCAGATGCGCCATGTATCTGTTCAGAACACTTCACTACCTGGGCCTTTGCCTCTGTAACAGGTGCTGTCCTGTTCAGCCTCAGTGTCCCTTCTTTGGAAGCCTTTCCTGA